AAAAAAAAAAAAAAGACAGGGTTTCTCTGTGTAACAGTTCTGGCTGTCCTGGAACTCGTTCTGTAGACTAGGCTGGCTTCACCTGTCTCTGCCTCCTGAGTGCTGAGATTAAAGGCGTGCACCGCCTGCTCCCCACCCCCACCCGGCTTTGTCCTGCATTTATTTATAAGGGTCCACAAGGTTCTAAATGCATAGAAGTATGCCTGAAAGCTGACACAGGTTAGGTAGTAGATGGGTAGGGAAGAGACTTGAGTGTTCTGTTGCGGATGAAGAGGTGCCTGTCACCCTTGAGAAGGATGCTCAGAAGTTTCCAGAAGGACAGCAGCTTGAAACCCACCTTCCAAACCTCAGCGAGGCTGGGCGTGCACGCCTTTAATCCCAACAACTCAGGAAGGTGGCAGGAGAATCTCTATGAGTTCAAGACCAGCCTGTTTTACATAGAGAGTTCTAGGCCAGCCAGGGCTACACAGTGAGACCCTACCTCAAAAACAAACTAAAGAAAGAATCATTCTTCCGGGAATACATCACAGGGCTGGGCTGGGGGATCACCAGAGTCTGAAATTCCTAACGCTGCCTGCTCACTTGACTCCTCAGTCGCTGCCTTGCTCCCACAGACAATTCTCCATCCAAAAGTTTCATCTATCCCGGGCCCAGGATGCCTCCGTCTTAACCCCCGGGGCCGCCGCAGAACTCTCACTCCCGCCCGTCTGCTGCCCGCCCCCTCCCCCGCAGGCCCGCCGCCTCACCCTTCGGTGTACTCGGCCTGCAGCAGACCCAGGTAGGCTTCCCATTTGTTGCCGACGATCTTCCCGCAGGTGAAGCAGCGAACTGGGATGATCATGGCGGCGTCTGGCGCGCAGGCTGCCGGCAGCGGTATTTCAAGGCCCGCCCAGGCGCGTCCATAGCGCGGGGCTCATCGCGCCCAGGCTCCGCCCCGCACGATCCTGAGCCCCGCCCCGCATCTCCCCGAGCCCCGCCGCGGCCCCGCCCCCGCTCCCGCGATCACCCTGCAGCGGCGGTGATCTCTGCTCGCGCCCACCCGGGGCTCCGAGAGCCTGCGTGCCCGCGGCAGTATTCCGGGAGCCCCCTCCTTCCGTGGTGGTACATCCCGGCGCTACGGCGTCCGAGCAAGGCCGAAAGGTCCGCGGCGCCGACGGTTCGCGTTTCTCGTGTTTGCTTGACTGACAGCTGCTCCGCGGAGCGGAGGCGCGCTCAGGTACGGCGGGTCTGCGGGCTGGGGTCCCGCCGGCCGGATCGCAGTCAGATGGCAACAAGTGGTGGTGGCGCGGCCGGGGCGCGGGCTGCCGAGAGTGCACGGCCAAGGCGGTCTTCCCGCCTCCTTGGCCCGGACTCCGAGGGGTCTCGGTCTGGAGTCCTTACCCGAGGTGCCCAGCCGTGGAGTTTGCAAAGTCCCTTCCGCTGCTGCAGAACTGTAGGCCGTACGGTGCCCCTGGCCCCGACGGCGTCGTCCCGCGCTCAGCAGTCCTCTCCTTCCCTGCGAAGGGGCTAGAAAAGGCTTTTCCCGCGGAGAGGTGCAGGGTAGTGGTCCGGGAAGGCGTAGTGTAGGAGGCACCCTATGAGCAGGCCTTTTAACTTCTTTCTCCCGGGAAACCTGACTTAGACGCGGGGATTGCCTGCGGGGACCGCTAGGGGTCACAGGTTGCCTCACCTGGAGTTGACCTAAGGACCTAAGGGAATGGACGAGTGCCGGTATCTTGGGGACTTCATCACCCTGACCGCCGCGCCTTCTTGCTTTGCCGGGGGCTACCCTGGAGAGGACGAGGCAGCATGCAGTGAGAAGATGGAAAGGTCCGTAGAGCTTGGGAAGTTTGGGGTCTGCTTAGAGTGAAGCCTCTGGTGTCCTAGACATTTGCCAGGTTCCTCTGGGGGAACAAAAGCTCTGCTCTCCTTCGTTGCAGGGGAGGTCAAGAAGGCTCTCCTGGGTTTTGTGTGTGGCTGGGCAGAGCCACTGCCCAACTTGGTGGTTATGTCCCCGCTGTCACCCTGGACAGCCTCTCTAGCAATATTTGACGTCCCCCATGGAGCCACGTGCAGAGCCACGAGCTAGGCGACTTCCCGGTCCTTTCCCCTCCCCCAACATCCTGCCCTGGCCAGAGGGGCAGTAGGGGCCTGTGAGTCACCGTGGCCCGGGATCAGACTCAGGATCAGGACTGAAGGCTGCTGGTGGCCAGAGGTGAGAGTGGAGGGGAGTGGGTTAGGAGATGGTCTGCAGGGTGGGCCCTAGGGACGGGGTGGAGGCCAAAGGCTTCTGGGAGGAGGGGCCCAGTTCGGTCCGGCCCCTGGAAGACTTGTTTACTTAGGGTGAGTTTGGGAGTGGAGCCTGTGCCAAGTTGACATTCCAAGAATTCCTGTGTGTGTGTGTGTGTGTGTGTGTGTGTGTGTGTGTCCCCGTCCCGAAAGCCCACTAGTTTCCAGTGCCTATTGTGGGTGGTGGCATCCTCTCCTCCCCTAGTTCCCGCTGCAGCTCCCTGGATTCCCAGAAACGGCCCAGGCTGGAGAACTCCAGGGTGTTGCTTATCTGCCCAGCCTTGGCTTGTCCCAGAGGAGTGTGTGGGACAGTAGGGGGGATGCTGTGGTTCACTTCTCTCCAGAGCCCTGGCCAGGATCCCAGGCTCAGCTTCTGCCCCTGCCTTTCCCTAACTGTTGTGGAGTTCCCATCTGGTACCGTGGTGGGAGAGATGTGGGTCCCTTGTACCTGCCAGCTGGGCTGGTGTTCACAAACGGACTGGTCTTTGGACTGGCAATAGCTTTATGAGAATGAGTGCTCAGCCTCCTGTAGGGTAGGGGGTGGAGGGCACATTGACGGAGATGTGCTCATACGCAGTTTCTAACCCATTTGCCATAGTTCCTGCCAGAGGAAGGGTCACTTCAGGGCAGGGGACACGGAGGAAACCCATGATTGAAGTTTTAGCTGCCCAGCCCCTCCCACTCTGGGTGTTGCCCTGAAAACAGCCAGCCAAAAGAGGGTGCTGCACTGTGTGGTCTGGAGCACTGGGCTGGGCTTCAGCTGCCTTTACCGCCTGGACTTCGATCACAGCCTTAGTTTCCCCATTTGTAAAGCTCTGGTAGGACCAGAAGCATGCACTGGGAGAGTCTCAATTCCTCTGCTTAAGGCTGGCTGTGAATTGGGGGAAGTGGGCGAAAGTGACTTCTTCCCAGGAACCTCAGCCTGTGCCCTCTGGCTTGCTCATGTTAGGGTGACAGACAGTCTGTCATCCTTAGGGTGTGGTGTGTGAATGTACACACTCCTCTACCTCACTCCCAGGCCAGAGCGGCGGTGGCGGCGGCGGCACACGCACTAAATGTGTCCCATGCATGCTGTCTGTCTAAATCACTCTTGGAGTCTGGAGTCTGTGGCTGAAACTGAAGTGACTACCCCAAGAACCTTTTGGGCTGTTGAGGCTGGGGTACTTGGGACCCACATCTGAGCCATCTCAGTGCTCGGAAGTCCCTAGCACTTTGGGGGCGGGTGTGCTTTGTTCATACCATAAGTATCCCCTGGGTCTCAGTTAGGTCCCGTCTGTTTCCACTGCCCCAGGGGCTCTAACAGAAATACCAGCGGGAGCAAGGCAAGACGTCGATGGGAGGTGCTGTTTGGGGTGGTCAGGGAGCCCAGGGAGAAAGACGGGCCCCTTGGCTGGCTTCACCCCCAGCCCTGGCTCTGTCCCTGAAGAGGTGAGGGGCTAGAGGTATCTTCAGTGTCCAGGAGCTCCTGTGAGGCTGTGTGTGGCCCTCGGTCCCTGCTTCTGGGTGGGAGGTGTCAGCCTCCTGGACCAGGAATTTGTGGAGCTCCTGCCCAGGGTGGGGGGTCTAGGGCAGGCCCAGAGGCCCTGCAGGGGCTGAAGCCACAGCAGGGAGGCAGACACCACAGCCTGTTTGGATTGGCACAACTCCTCCTGCCTCCTCAAAGAAGCCATGGAGCCAGCCTCTCAGCCTAGGGCTGGGGTGGAAGGTGTGTGTGTGTGTGTGTGTGTGTGTGTGTGTGTGTGTGTGTGTGTGTGTGTGTGTGTGTGTGTTGCTCTGCTCTCCCTCCTGAGCTAGCTGGACTAGGAATAAGGTTGGTTACTCAGGGGTCCAAACAAGCTTCTGGGCCAGTTCATGCTGCCACGCCACTGAGAGGTCCAAAGGTGGCTTGCTTTGCTTGCTGGCAACTAATGGCCCCAGGCAGCCATGGTTGAGCTTTATGTCTAGAGTTTGGACAGGTCTCATTTTGAGTGGGAACCTGTTCTGGCTAGGTAGGTGTCCATGGTTTCCTTGGCCCATCCCCCAGGCTTCCCATCTCTACCCACTCACAACTGAGGGTGGCCTTAGCTGGGAGCCCTGCTGGCAGATGGCCCCGATGTCCAGATCATTGTGGTTGGGTACTAGGCTAGGGTGTTGAGGAAGGCACCCCCCCCACCCCCCGCCCCCCAGCTCAGATGGGGTGGCCTTGCCTTGGCCGTTCACTGTTATTGATCAGCCTGCACACCACACCCTCTGAATTCTGTACTTGGCAGCAGAAATGGGCCTTGTCCTCACGTGACTGTCCTGAAGTCTGCTAGACTGGCCCCTGTTCATGTGGTTTATAGACAGGGCCTTCTAAGCAGGAGAGTGGCACATGGTTCAGAGGACAGCATCCAAACGCTGGGCTCAGTGCAGAAACCAAAATGGCTCCCCTTTGCCCCAAGACCTTTTGGCATCTCTTGGCGAGCCCTTCCTATCCCCTTCCAATTTTGGCTTTCTTCCCCCCCTCCTCCCCCTCTGCCTCTTTCTTTCTTTCTTCCTTCCTTCCTTCCTTCCTTCCTTCCTTCCTTTCTTTCTTTCTTTCTTTCTTTCTTTCTTTTTTTTTTGAGACAGGGTTTCTCTGTGCAGTCCTGGCTGTCCTGGAACTCACTCTGTAGACCAGGCTGGCCTCAAACTCAAAGAGATCCACCTGCCTCTGCCTCCCAAGTGCTGGGATTAAAGGTGCACCACCACCACCCGACTAAAGCAATTTTTAAAAAATGATTTATTTTTTTCCTATAAATTGTTTTGCCTGCATGTATGTCTGTGGGAGGGTGTTGGATCCCCTGGAACTGAAGTTATATACAGTTGTGAGCCTCTATGTGGGTGCTGGGAATTGAACTTGGGTTCTCTGGAAGAACAGCCAGTGCTCTTAACCTCTGACCCATCTCTCCAGCCTGACCAAAGCAATTTAGAGAGATGTCATCTTACAGTGCATTAGGAAGGGAAGTCAGAACAGAAACTTGAGGCAGGAACCTAGAGGAAGGAACTGGAGACCAAGGAGGAACGATGCTTATTGGCTTGTTCTTCATGGCTCACTTAGCTTGCTTTTGTTTGTTTGTTTTTGTGTTGTTTTGTTTTGTTCTGTTATTGTTTTGTTTTTTTGAGATAGGGTTTCTCTGTGTAATAGCCCTAGCTGTCCTGGAACTTGCTTTGTATAGACCAGGCTGGCCTTGAACTCACAGAGATCCGCCTGCCTCTGCTTCCCGAGTGCTGGGATTAAAGGGGTGCGCCATCACACCTGTCTAGCTTGTTTTCTTATATACTCCAGGACCATCTGCTCAGGGTAGTACCACCCACAAGGGACTGGGTCCTTTCACATCCATTAATAATCAAGAAAATGTCCTACAGAAAAATTTATGTACATAGGTGTTGTGTGGGCATGTACATCTGTATACCATGTGAGTGCCTGGTGCCCACAGTGGCCAGAAGAGGGCATCAGATCCCCTGGAACTGGAGTTGCAGATGATTGTAATCTGCCATGAGGATGTTGGGAATCGAACCTAGGTTCTCTAGAAGAACAGCCAGTGCTCTTAACTGTTGGGACATCTCCAGTCTTCTACAAGCCACACACACACACACACACACACACACACACACACACACACACACACACACAC